CCTTGGCCCACAGGACACCTGGGTCAGTGGCCCCGTTTCTCCCCCATGGCACAGATCCAGGCTGGAAGTGTTTCCCAAACCCCAGCACCCATCCGGGGTGTGTAGGCGCCCTGTGTGCAGACCCGGCACTCTCACCCCAGGCCTCTGCACAGGACAGAGCACTGGGGTCAAGCCCAGCTCTGGGGAATAGTGGCTCAAGCCAGGGAGAAGTGGGAGCCCCACCTTCTGCAGGCAGCTGCGTCCTGCATGTCCCACGGAACTCGGTCCAATGCCAACAGCTTTTTAAAGACAGCTGCCTGCCCCCTGCCCTCACCATGTGGTTTTGGGGGGTATCAGCCCCTCAATTCTCAGCACCCCCTTTACCTTTCTTCTCAATAGCTTCCACAAGCTTCACCAGCAGCGGCGGTGCAATCTCAGGAGGGCTGAACTGCTCCTGCAAGTCTGGGAGAGGAGACCCTGGGGGAGAAAGAGGGAAAGAAGGGGTCAGCCCCAGCTCAGCCCTCAGCAGATGCTCTGCAGCGGAGCTGGGCTGGGGCACAACCAACGCCGCTCCCAACAGCAGCGTCCGAGAGCAAGGAAAGCCACAGCCCTCGCGAACACTGCACGGAGGCCACGGGAAACCTGCGAACCAGAAACCAGCACAGCTCTTGTTAAGCCTGGCCTTGCCCCGAGCCCCCGACAGGGTGTGCACAGGGGGATCCCTGCCGCTCCCTGCAGAGATTAGGAGGCAGAGCCTATTTCCCTGGGGACCCCGGCACCCCAGGCAGGCAGCGCAGGGGTTACCAGAGCTCCCGGAGCTCAGGCCGGGTTTGGTCCCTGCCCAGCACAGGGCTGGTAGAGGAGCACAGCCAGGGAGCTCGCTCACGGTGGTGAGCTGTGATTAATCCAGCAATTCAGACAGAATGCCATGTCAGCAAATTCCTGCCCTTGATTGCTTGTTTAACATGGAAACCAGCCCTCTGCCTCCCCCTCCCCGCAAGCCCGCAGCCTCTGTGCGAGCTGTTACAGGGTGCAGACAGCCCACGCCATGGGACTGGGGTCTCCCCCTTCCCCAAGGGATCTATGGACCCACATTGGGTGGCATTTCACTGCCACCTCCAGAATTTCTTGAGGTCCCAGCTCTGCGCACCCCCCTTCCCCTGTGCTGGAGGGGCGACGCATGCTGGGGCAGGAGCACGCAGGCCCGGCCAGGCAGCTGCCAGCAGGAGGTTTGCCGAAGGATGAGCAGTGCCAGGTCCTTGCTTGCTTCTAATTCAGCACCAGCCAGTGCAGGAGGCTCCTCCGAGCTGGTCCACAGCACCAGGCAGACCCTGGGGAGCCCACAGTCGGCGAGGACACGCAGCACGCTCCATTCTGGGGAGGCAGAGCCAAAAGGCTGCTTCCCATTGCGAAACAGGGCTCTGTTGTCACGGATCTGACCCGAACTCGCCTGGTGTGGTCTTGCCATGAGGCGCAGCAAGCTGAAACTCCGCACCCGGCTGAGCCTCCTGCACCCACAGCCTCTTGAGGAGATGAAGCAGCCTTTGACTCAGCAGCTGCAGAAAAGGGCGCAGGGGAGCAGGCAACCAGCAGTTCTGCAAGGGCCCATGCTGCTGTGGGGGGCAATCCCCCACCAGAGAGAGCCCCTGGGCATGGGAAGGGGCCCAGAATGGTGCTGGTTGGGGTGGGGAAGCTGCAGGCAAGCTGCCAGGCTGGCAGCTCTGGGCCTGACCCTTGGGAAGGGCTGAAGGGAGAGTAAATACTGGTGCTGCCCACGTGGCCTGGCCGGGAATGTGCTGCTTCAGCAGGCAGCAGCCTGCCTTTTTTTATCAGGCAGCCTTTGCCGGAGCCAGCAGCGGCTCCCCAG